AATCTAAGACTAGTATTTGGCTCAAATCACTGCTTGTTCCCCTAATTTCTGTCTCCTTTTTTTTTTTCAAAAAAGGAGGAGGTTGCCGACCCCTGGCCTAGGCTGACAAGCAATGTCAATTCAGAAATCATATTTGACACTGGATAACATATATCTGTACCTGCTTTTCATTTGGAGGCTGCAAGCGGTAACATCCTTCATCTCCCTGCTTTGTTTAAGTCCTTCAGTTCACTGATGTAACCTGGTTTAAAACCAAAATAATCCCAGATGGGTGATTCTGCATTTGCTGAAAATGGGACGGGGAGTGGGGGGATCTATCTGTTTACTTAGTTTAGTCTTAAGCCCTTTTTCCATTAGTACCTACTTGGATCAACTCAGCACGGTTCGCCACGGTTTTCAGCGTTTTCCATTAGGTCATAGTAGCTGGTACCAGATACTTTTTTAGTACCCGCTCAACTGGGGTTCCAAGCGATCCCAGCAGGCACTAAAGTGTGACATCATCAGACTGCATGCCACTGACTGGCTGGTCAGTAGCATCACTCGATGAGTCAAGAAAGCCTCTCGTTCATGAAAATTAAAACAGCCATTTTTGAAACCCAGCAACTAAGGAAATGGTTAAAACAACGCCATGGTCCCCCAGTCAGACGAAAAGTCACAGACCGAGCAGCAGGTTTCACTTGACGTCCACCTTTTTTGTAGAGTTCGTGTGCCATATTAATAACATTGTGGGACGCTCGGACATGTTTCTGTCACGACAACCACGCACATTCGCTAGTACCAGATTGTAGTGGAAAACCAGTCAATCCAAATCAAGTCATGGCGATCCGTGGCGAATGGCAAAGGGGCTTTAGTTATCTATCTCCAACTACAACATATAGCTAATGTTCATTCAAAAGTCAATATTAATATTTAGCCAATGAACCAAAGTAAAAGACTGACTGTTTAAATTGATGACGGCTAAATTTGGCTAAACTTTTCGGTCAATGACAGGGATTAATGTTTGGTCGGTGTGCATCCTGAGGGAGGAATGAATGCACGGTACGGTAATCCGTTAGAAAGAATCTTCTTTAGGATTCTAGGTTTTTAGGATTCATCCTCTGGGGATAAACTTTTCCAAATTCTGACCAGAACTTTGAAGTTACATAATTAGTTGACCAAAAGACAATCTGTCATCATTTTTGATTGTCATTAACTGTTGAAGCTATTTAAAAAGCCAGAATACCTAAAGAGCATTTCATTCCACCTTAATAAGATGCAAGCAGAGAGTTCCCCATGCGGCTATGAAGGTCATTCATTACTATTTTGTGACCTTTTAAGGGTCAAATAAGTAACAGATAAATTTACCATGAAAGAATTAGTGAGCTAGATTTAAAGCCTTACCACCCAGTTTAATTTGCTTGCTCATTTTTACATACAGAGAGATTTATACAGAGGGTTTGCATCCACCACCGAGCAGAAAAGGTTGAAAAGATCTGATTCCAGAAGTCATTCTTGTGTTAACAGTATTCTCTGTTTATCCCTAATAATGTATTTTTTGTGAAACATACAGCGAGTAGTGATAAATCAGTGTGTGAGAGGCAGGCTGGCCTATTTTATTTTTATTTTTTGTATAAATGAGTTTAAAAAAAAACTGAAGAGAAAACCCTGTCTGATCTGAGTCAGACAACCTATTAACGAGTATACTATATTTCCCACCACTACCTCCTTGTTGAGACTGAACATCACATCCTTCCTTCCTCGCTTAAGACAGAGGCGCACGAGAAGGTAAGAGCATCAGGAGGAAGCAGATAAAAGAGGAGTTTAAGGTGCACGAGCGAGGCAGGAAGAGGAAGATGATGGGTAAACGAAGGGTGGGCGGGAGAGTGGGGGTGTTCTTAAAGCTGAAAGATGAGCTCGCTGCTGAAGAGGGGAGGATGAGAAAGACTCGGCAGAAATGGTGAGTAATGGAATAATGGGGGGGGGTGAGAGGGACTGTGTCACTCTGAGGCAGATGTACTGACGAGCCGGCTGGCTGATCGATGGGATGTGGTCAATCAGCACATTGATCCATATGCTCTGACCTCACTTTGGATGGCTGAGGGGCAAAGTGGGTGCCTGTGTGTGTGCTGGTTTATATACAAGTGCGTGTGCTGACATAGCATAAGGTTATGTAACTGCACATCAATTAACCCCCACCCCCCGTTAAGGAAACCTACAGTTTGGCAAGCATGAAATCATATACACTTTCACATTCGACACTCATTAACAGAGCTCACACTGACATTTTTTGCAGCATTGCATCATGAAAATAAGCTTCCTAAGACTTTAGATTTGCGATTAATTCACCACAATGAGCATTTTGTTGCCCCTCTTTTTTTTTTTTAAGATTACATCACGGTCATATGTTAATCCAGCTGAGAGCAGGGCCTCTATTAAATACTCTTACTTCAAAGAGGAAAATGACATTTCACAAAATAAACTGTAATAATATTGTAATAAGTGGGTGCTGTGATTTCATATCCTCTTCCAAAGGCCTGACAGTGGATTTTCATTGTGTGTGTGTGTGTGTGTGTCTTGCCTGAAACAGTTGCCTGAAAGGTAGAAAATTATCAGAGTATTTCACAATGTGCTTTGGAGAACAGTCTGCCGTTATCCTCTCCCCCTCCCAACTCTGTCCTGAAATCACCTTCATTAGCCTTTCGTCTAACATAAGGCAAGTTGACACAAAATGAGGGGAAGCAGTGGAACGAGATCACATGTTATAACTGGAGACAAAACTTGCAGACCTAAAACAAACAGCTCTTTATTCCCTTACATACAAATCTATGTGTAGCAATCCAACATCACAGTCTTAACGTTAAATGATGGGAAACCATAGTATAGTTTTCTCCTCTGCATAGCTGAGTACATCTCTGAAAGGACAGTAAAACTAATAAATAAGTAAAAACAACTAACTTATCTTGAGCTGCAATGCTGCGTTTTCGGAGGGGGGTTAAAGAAAACAACAGCTCCTGTTTCTGCGAGTGCAAAGAGACAGGAGGAATGCGATGAACTGTGAAAGGGCGACTGCAAGTCGAACCTGAGATGCCCAAACCAGATGCAATGCAAGTCCGAACAGCTCCTGTGTCACAGATAACGAGGGTAAAGCTGCATGATAATAGAATGGAAAACAAGTCGCCCCTACATGGTCTAATTTCACATTAGAAAAAGACGACTCCATGACTTTGGTTGGAGGTTGATATTGGCATTTATAGAAAGTATAAGAGTAACGGAGACAGAAGAAACACCCTTCAAAAATGTTATGAGTGTTGATGTTGCATAGTTCAGCCACTAGAGGGCACTCTGCAAATTCCCCGTTGGAAACACTTTCTTGTAAGGCCACGAACACAACAAACAGCTAATCTGAGCAGAGTGCAAATAACTTAAAAATGACCACACGTAACAAGTGTTAGGGAAATCCGTTTCTCATGAAAGAAAAACCATATCGGCCGATATGCTGGAATATTGGATTCTTAAATGACCAAATATCGGTATCGGCTTTTATAATGTGGTATCAGTCAGACTCCAGCTGTTATATCCATACACACCTGCAGTGTGACAACGACAGACTGCAGCACAGCTAAGGAATATGAATAACAGAAGTGGAGGCTCTGACGAAGAGCTCAGTGCAAATGTTTGACACTGGAAGAGAGCATTTAATAATAAACATAAGGTAAACATCTTCTTCTTCCTTCTTGATCCTATCCCTAGCATCTTCCTCCGCATGTTCTCCTTCACAACATCCACGAATCTTCTCTATGGTCTTCCTCTTTTCCTCCTGCCTGGCAGCTCCATATTTAACATCCTTTGTTCAGTATATCCACTATCCCTCCTCTGCACATGTCCAAACCATCTCCGCCTTGCCTCACTAACGTTGTCATAAATATGAAGGCCCACTTCATTGTAAAAGGCTCTGAACTGAAACCAGAGGTTTCACTGGATAGGGATGGTGTCAGTCTTGATACTGAATGAAACTAGAGTTAAACATATATTTGTTACCGATTAAAGTGGACATATTGTGTAGCTGTTAAGTGTAGTTATATTTCTGTGAAGGAAAAAATCAGTGCTGCAGACTTTTAAGTCGAGCATTACACTGGACCTTGGTGCAGGCCCTTGGTTTATCTACCTTCTGAAACAACCTTTTTCCCCTTTAAATCAACTAGCCTCTCACTGGCTACAATTCACAAACAGACGGTTTGAACATCAGGTTACAACAAGAGAGGAAACTTCAGTGTGAAATGGAGCCTTTAGGAGATAGATGCTGGTATTGTAACATGAAACTGGTGGTTTAGAAAAGTCTTGTTCTGAAGCAATCACACTCTTATCATTTTTCATGTTTTTTAAACTGACTATACGGAAAGAGGGGCAGATTTGATTGTGAAACCAGCTAACAACTTGTCAAACGTTAGCCGACTGATCAAAATCTTCCAAAATGGACTCTAGTAGGTCCGTAACCATGAGTATCACCCCCTGGTGGATATTACAAAGAATCTTGGTTGAAGGTACTGTCATGTTAGTTTCACTTTTCAGACCTGGAAGCCACCACCATCTTTTATACTGTCTGTAATAGGAACCTGAAGCTGGAGGGGAGGGCGGACCTCTTGTGAGCAGAAAACAAGCATAATAAGGTCCTAAAGTCCTCGCCATCATATTGTAGTCTTTTTCAGTTTCACCCACTGGTGTGGCAAAGGCTCACGTTTGAATTTTGGGAATAGAAGACCAACAGTATTGATTCCTTACGCAATAATAACCGACAGGTGAAACCTGGGAATACTTTTTCCTAGCTGTTCACTGTGAACAGGAACATGAAACAAGCAGTCAAGCAATGGCATGCATACCACAGCCTAATAGACCACATAAAATACACTATGCAGATACAGTGTTTAGGATTTCCTTCCACCTGCACATGCAAAACTGTGGCTTTCACCTACAGACACGCACACCTACACACACGCATACACAGCTACAGATCAAACGCATACCCAGTCTTCGTAGTGCCTGGTTCCGTTCTGCAGCAGGTCCTCCAGCTGGATGGTGCAGTTGGCCACAAAGTCATCATACCCGATGGGTGCATCGTGGAACACTGACAGCTCCAGGCTCCTTCCCTCACGCACCTCGGTGCAGAACTCCTGGTGCCAAACGGGACTGTTGGTCTTGGTTCTGGTGGCGGTCTGGCCTAGTCGGGTCTGATCCAGATTCAGAGCCAGGTAGGGGTCCAGCAGGAAGGAGCCGCTCTTCCCCACTGCGTGACGCAGCGCCCATGGAGTGGGCTTTAGGTCCACCGCCTCACAAACCCGCACCTTCAACAGACCACTGAACACAGGCATGGCTGCTGGGAAGTGTGTGTGCGTAAAAGGATGAGTGTGTGTGTGTGTGTGTGTGTGTGTGTGTGTGTGTGTGTGTGTGTGTGTGTGTGTGTGTGTGTGTGTGTGTGTTTAGGCTAGTCTGCCTGTTCCTGCTCCTGTACACAGAGTGTTTCCTTCCAATGAGCGGGGTCACTGCACAGTCCTGCTACATCCCATAATGCCGCTGGCTCCTTGGACTCTCAGTCTAGTACAGCCATATCAGACCAGCTCGTTATCCACACACGCGCGCAGAGACGCCAACAGGGCAGCTGACTGATCCCCAGCAGACTGAAAAACGCAGAAATAACGCGGACTCACACCCTTCAGGGGTCTCCTGGTGGACGCTCTCCCACCGAGGCGGCTGCCTTGTTTGTTTACGATCGGTCTCGTGAGCCACACAAAATTCCTGTTACCGCGGAAACAGAACGGGGTATGAATGTCTCTGATCAGAAACGCAGGTTGACTGGCTCACGTTCACGTGAAGTCCCGGAGCTTCCCCGCGGTCCTCGTGTGTCTCTCCCGGGTCAAGGTGGAAGAGAGCGCGACCAGCCGCGCCTAGCCATCCGGGATTGGTTCTCCTCTTCCAGCCCGTCTCGGCTCACTCGCTCCTCTCCTGGATAATCTCCTTCCTAAGACCTCACGGCACCGCGATATTTGCGCGTAACCCTCGGAAAGCAGTGCCTTTTATTGCCCCCCCACCCCCCCAAATGACGGTTTTTTTGGGGGGTTCACGAGCACCCCAAACACATCCCAGTGCTCCGCTCCCGTTTCGCTTTTTTTTTCTCCTTTCGCTCTCTGCGCGCTCCCCTCGCTTCCCGTCCACTCGCTCCTGAATCTGTGAGTGAGCGCGAGCTGCAGGAAATGCGCAAAACGCGTCACCCGCGTTGCCGGGCTTCTGCGCCGGATGAGAGAAAAGAAAGACAGAGAGAATCTGTGTGCGCGTGCGTGCGTGCATACATACGTGTGTGCGTGTGTGTGTGTGCTCAGCTGGAAGAGGTGTTTTTAAAAGAGGGGCGATGGAATTCACCCGCAGGCGTGGAGTAATGTGTATGTGTGAACGCGCGTGTCATGGCCAGACAGCCCACAGAGCCCATCAGTCCTCATGCATGACCACAGACAGCTTCACGCACAGTTAGAGAGTCTGAAGAGACAGGGCTGATATTGTTGAGTAAATCTGGTGGCAGCACTTTATAATACAGCCCGCGTTTTACCACACCCTGAATATAGGATGTGATTTTCAGGTTCCTAAAATACTACAGATTCCCAATGATACTTAAAAAATGAGTCATAGTCAACAGTTGTTTGTTGTTTTTAAGATTAAATCATTTTAACACTAAACATTTTTAAGTAATAAAGCTTTATTAAAGAGTATCCCAACTGCCTTTTACACAATTTTTATTTCATTGTTTGCAAGCTTTGATGGTTTCACAGGGAAAATTGAAAAGTTATGACACTGTCCGCGTCGATTTTCTGTCAGACTTTCTGCCCTTGTCATCTGCTCTGTGCAGATTGACATGTCTTCCTAAAAAGAGAGACAGACAGACAGACAGACAGAGAAAAAACAGACTAGGCCTATTTTAAGCAACGTGGAGCAGAGAGCCGCTTGGACACTTGTGGTACGTCTGGTAGAATTACAAGCATTGTCTTGAGCAGGTGCAGTCGGCTCCAGTGGTGATGAAAAGCCGGAACCATGTCTGTTGTATTCCTGGGGTTAGGCTTTATTATAAAGGGTTTCAACCCTGCTTTGTATTTAATTAGGGTTCCAGGATGCCTTTTACAGTAATCTAAGCATCCCTTCTTACATTGTAGATACTAACAGAGCTACAGTCTGTATTATAAAGTGTTCCAGGCTTCATTATATTATGGAGTATCCCAAAGAGCACTTCTTATTTTGTAATTACACATTAATAGGTGTCTAGGCTGTATTTTAGAGTAGTCTAATATGCTTCAAGATACAATACATACTAATAGAGCTTCAGGCTGCATTACTTCCCTATATCCTGAAGCTCCTAAATCCCTTCTTCTTTTGTAATCAGACATTACTACTAGGGTTGAAGGCTGTATAATAGATTATCCTAAAGACCCTGTCTTATTTTTGTAATTACATGTTACTATTAGGGGTCCAGGCTGCCTTTTAGACTAGGCTAACCTTCTCTTCTTACATTGTAATTACACCACAATAATAGGGCTCCAGGCTATATTGTAGAGTAATCCAATGAGCCCTTCTTATTATTTTATAATCAACCATTACTTTTATAGGGGTTTAGGTTCAATTTTAGAGTACCCTATCCCCTTCTTACCTTAAAGCAAACAGTTACCAGTTCTTCGAAAAAATAGTTATATTCTGGGTTTTTTCTCTTGTCCCTTAAAAACTGCAAATTGCTACTCTTTTTTTCCACTGTACTTACGGAATTTAACTAGCCTAAATTCAGCATATTTACATAATAAATGTTCTGAAATGTCATCATCAAATCCTCACCAAATAACTTCATTTAACTAGATTTAGAGATTAATTCAAATTTTAACAGACTATAAAAAGGGTTGGTGGGTTTTATCCACATATACAGGGAGGAGGTAGAGCCTCCTTAAAAATTCATATTCTTTCATTACATTTCATGTGACAATAAAAAAACATTACATTTAATTATATTTTTTTAATAAATTGCCCATTTTCTATAAAAATTATCATATTCACCCAAAATGTCTATAGTTTCTTTCCCCAAATAGAAACTTAGAATAGTTCCAAAATATTACATGAAAATGCTCCAGAACCTCTGTTTTCACATTTCTTCTCACATGAAAGAGCCCTGAAAGTAAGAAACCATCTACACTTTTTCAAATTGCTGGAATAGTATTTTAGTATCTTATAAAGTACTACAGTAATACTGGCTACTCCTATAAGAGTATAATAGATGTTTGACTGGTTTTTAAATCAGCAGTGAGTGATGCAATTTCAGAAATGTCCCAAGACATGCCAGTACTCAAAACAATCAAATTTAGATATATATTCATTACTTATGCTGTTCTAAACTTTATTTAAAACTACACCACAAGCATAGCGCTGTTTTTGTCATAAATCTTCTGGACTCTATGTTAGTGAAGCCCTGACCTCCTGTGCACTCGCTCAAGCAACATACACATCCTGGAACTTATAACTGCAAAGTATCTGCTAAAACTCCAGCTTTTCCCTGCTGTCTGCCTCCACTAGTCCTTAAACAGAGCGAAACCATAATCAAACGTCATCATTTCTTCTCCTCCGAACGTGCTGCTTGTTTATTCCTTTGTTGGTTTGGAATTGAAATATAACTCTTACAATTACAGCTGCTGAAAACATAACAAACACATCTTCACAAAGAGCCTCTTGGCCATGTCTTTTTTCATATTTTTTCCCTATGGAGGAATCTGAGCATCTTAACCATGGAGCCAGTGGTAGAAGAGGTACCCAGGTCTTATCACAAGCAAAAGTCTTCTTTTGGATACTCACTTAGGCCACAGTGGCCTCTATCGTGTCCTATGCCTAGTATCCTTGTTTGTCACACCAACCCTCTGTGTGTCCTCCTACTTCCATTACTGTGGCCTGTCTGGCAGCTCCATTTTCTATACCCTTTACCCAATATATCCACCATCCCTCCTCTTCACATGTCCAAACTCTCTCAAGCTTACCTCTATACTTTGTCTCTAAAGGTGTCACCCTGACATACTCATTTCTAATTCTGTCCAGTGAAAACAGTAGCATCTTCCACTCCGCTACATCCAGCTGGGTCTCCTGTCTGAAATAATGTATTATTTATTTATTTAGATATCAAATTATGATCTAGTAAATTAAATAGAATGATGAGTAAAATGTCATCATATCATCAGAGACTGTTTATTAACGCCTATGCAGTTTATGATCAGGCCTGTCCAACTGCGCCACCTGCTGGTGCAAGAAAAGTATCACCGGAAGGATGACGCTATCAGTCGTGATGTCACTAAACGCTGTGTTCAAGTGCAGCTCGGAGATCGTTGCCATTTTGCAATGGTCAGGAGGAAAAAGGTCGTCCAGTCGTCTGTGCTGGAAAACCATTGCATGTTAAAACAAAATGCTATTCTGATCTTCTCGCGCTTCACAGGATAGTGTGACTCACGCCGAACCAAGATAAATGCCAAGAAATATGAGTCAGTTGTCTCAGAAATACTACCCAAGTGGTGGAGCCAGACTAATGTTGGAGATGATGGTTTAAAAATATATAGACATGTGGCACATTAGAATTAAAAGTCTCTCTCTCTCTGTTTCTTTCTTCTTCTTCTTCTTTTTTAACTTAAAATGTACAATACATTAAAAACCCCAATAAAGGCAGTAGTGGTGCAGTAAAGTCCGGTTATATTACTGTAGAGTGGGTGAATCACTATTGAAGTATTGTATCAACTACTGCATAGTTTCAGCTTTAACAGATTGGACTTACATAAACGGGTATAAACCAATGACTGTAGAAAACAGTCGTTGGTTTTCTACAGAAATTGAATTTAATGTTACCACTAGGTGGAGCCGGTGTGCATTTACTTTGTTAAATAGCGTTTCCAGAAAGTGAGAGTATTTAAATAATATCTATCCATATATGTAGGCGTAGTTTGCATGTATACAGGTGTATAAAAATATTTGGCATACAAAAAAGGTCACTGTGTGGACCGGAATCGAGGCCATTTTGCGGGAAAGTCAGGTTAAACATACTGATCGCAAAAGTAGGCAAAAATAAACGAATACTTACGGAAAATCCAACACGATTATTAAACGTATTCTGCACGGTTTTAATACTCAACTGGTTGAAAAAAGGGATAGTTTGAGTTTATTTAAGCAAAGTTTTTATTTGCAATTCTATATGTATGTTTTTCCCTTATTTGGGGTTTTGGATCAATCAGAAAACAACAAAGCTTTGATAAGCTTTATATGCTTTGATAAATCCCTTTAGGTCACCCCTTAAGAACACATTTTAGGCTGAAGCCACATGCGAGTCATTTGCAATCAATACTAGTAAATACTAGTATTTACTGTAATCGTAAATTGTGTTTTTTTTGTGTGTGTTAACTGTTTATATGACAGGTTTTTGGTTACGGATCATTACAAAAGTATTCATAACAGTGATATAATAAATAACTTTATTTCTATAAAATACCAAAAAACATTTATTCAGCATTAAAATGAACATCAAGTAGACAGAACATGGCTACACAGTAAATTTTAAATAACGAAAAGATGGCAAGTTGACAAAAAACGGTTATTAAAATACAAACAGACAGGGAGCAGGCAGAATTCAGTGGTGCTGACTGATTGTCTACAGTAAACATTTAGGAGTCCACCTTGAGCCTCTAAAGGAACAACTAGACTGATTTTTTATGACACATAATTTGAGAAAATGAGTGAGAATGAAAGTGATTCGCTCACTGGCAGTTTTCAGTCTTCTCTTTGGGGGGTCCCTGGGTTTAAAGTCCAACAGGAGTGCATTGCTTGATGCGTGTTTAATTATGCTCATGACAAACTGGGTCAGCAGATGTGCACTCACCCTCCAATAACGCAGTTTAAATAAAATCGGTGGTTACAATTCAAAATTTGTACCTGAAGACCACCAAAAACCAAAAAGAAAGAAAAACACCCAGAAAAAGTTAACGTAAGCTTCGCCTGTGGAATAATATTGCGTTTTATACGCCGAATTTATTGCAGAGCAAATCCTGACCAGCGTTTGTCCACACACATTCTCCTCACAGTTGACCAACGGCAGAGCCTAAATGTTTATTTCACTTTTAAAAGTGTCAGACGTCCAAGTCGGAGTCACTGTCCGTTACTGAGAGCAGAGTTTCTCCATCCGCGCGCTCTGTGCTCCCGTCTGGACTACAGCCTCCTCTGCTTA